TGTCACACACACCTTGCAACTTAATAAGGTAATCAACTTTTGCAGTTTACGTATACTGATTATGATTCCCTCTCTAACGGATGTGAGAAACGTCCTTGCATTTTACTTTACCAAGCATTGCAGGTTCTTTCCCATAAAGAGTCCTCGACTTGTACGGGTTTCTCCTGTAGAACAACTAGACCAATTAAAAACGCTCCTCATTTGACCACTAGCGAGAACAGTTGACAGTAGAATTGGGAAAAATGAAGATGTCTGGGATACTGTAAATAAAGCACTGGATGAATAAGGAACGCTCCTGCGAAGAACAAGTTTTACACTATACAACGTGTGAATAAACTGTAGTGGATAAGATAAATTCAAATACACTTGGAACATGTCTACTTATAAATACAGTTAATCATTTGCGCATTCTTAATTGTGCATAGGTTATTGCTATCTATATAACAGTTTAGTATATTTAGTTTTCTTTCTTTAAGATATAAGTGGCAATTTTTTTATTTGGCGACCAGGTATTCGCCAAAGATAGCCCTCGTGGGGACTGAGGACATTTGAACGTGATAAAGTAATTCTAAAGCCTTAAAACATCTCAGTATCTCAAGTATTTCATTTTACTTTTTCATATAGTTTTCCAACATATTAAACAACTGTTTATATTTTGTATAACACATTGATATTTCTGTAGGGCGATCTGGTATTTAATTTCGCTACCAGATCTTATCACTGGTAGCCAGTTAGGTGATTGGAATTCTTAAAATTTTAACCATTGCAAGCGATGTTTTTTGCTGGACCTCTAGGACTCTAGGTGGATAAGTATAATTGTAGACCTGTTCCAAAAAAAATTCTTCACACAATCTAGGACGGAGAAGAACGTGAAGTACGACATTACTACTTTCAATCTTGGCCTGATCACGGTGTCCCTAAATATCCCACTCAACTCCTGGCTTTCAGAAGGCATTTCAGAACACATCATGTGGAACAGTCTGGACCAATCGTTGTGCACTGTAGGTTAGATTCTTAAGCTTGTTAAAAAGGTGTCACCATTAATTTGTAAAATAATACCTATGACATAGGTCACTGTAAATTGGATATAACCATTCGAAAATAGAAATTCCCCTCAAAGAAAATTTTATTATTTTACATTTCCAGTGCTGGTGTTGGCAGAACTGGCGTCTTCCTCGCTGTAGATACGATCCTTGATAAACTTGAGAAAGGTGTCATCAATTCTATCGATATTTTTGGACAAGTTTGTGCAATGAGAGAGCGACGAATGAATATGATTCAAACTTTGGTATGAATAGTAAAAATTTACTATTGTCCTTGACCATACAGGGCAAATTATGAATCCTACATTGTTGGGTTAACATTGTTTCCTAACCATGCTTCTGAAAAGAGAAAGAAAACTTTGTTCCCCTTCCATGTTGAGGAAACCAGAAAATAGTGTTTCCTACCTATGTTTCCCGAAACTGGGCAAAGCAGAAAACATTGCTTTCTAGCCATATTTCGCCGAAAATGGGCGAACCAGGAAACAAAGATGACATTAGGAAATATTCCTACTCCCTGTAAAGCAGTTCTCTTTCCAGAGAAGCAAATGAACTTTGTTTCCGCAACAAAAAATGTTTGGATGGGAGATACAGTAAACGGAGAAAACATTTGAAAAACGGGAAAATGTTTCCTTAATTTTTTGTTCAGGTCTTTATTTAAATTGTCTTTATTAACTTTTATAAGTTGTACATTATATTTTTTAGGAGCAATACATATTCGTCCACGAAGCCATTTTGGAAACCATCTTATGTGGCATGAATGAAGTAGATTCTAGTAAAATCCAGAAAGAGATTGAAAAGCTCGCCGAAGTCATTAAGGCCAGTGGAATAACTGGATTTCAAGAGAAGTTCAAGGTTCGCATTCATACATCACCTTTTCGGCCTTGTATATAATTAACAACCTATTAACAGACAAACAAGAAATATCCCATTAGGTAACTTCCGGAAATGAAGGCCAGACACGCTTTTGTCATTTTAGAGGTTGGGTGAGGTTTCACCGAAACATTCCCCTGATGAATGCACTGCAAGTTTACGGAAAGGAAATCTCAAAAAGAATCACAATAAAATTGTCTACCCAGGTACTTTGAAGATTCATCTAAATCTGCTAATTATTTTACCATGTACATGTACTGCCGCATATTGGAGGCCTGCTGTACTGTAGCAACTTTTGACCAGAATATACAACTCTTTCACCTTAAATTGGAAAATTTCTTTTGGAGCATAACAAGTTTATCGTTCTATTTTAGCCGAGAGCAATCGCGTTCCTCTTCAATACGTGCATGGCGTGGAAGATTCAGATTATATCAACGCTGTGTTTGTTCATGTATGTATACAGTGTGTATCATTAAGTTGAGTATGCAAAGCCCAGCCGAATTGCATGTTCAAGACGAATAATGGGTAATTGAATAACCATATTCGCTTCTACTGGCAGCTATATCAGCCTTATCAATAGGAATCAACCTTGTAAAGTTCATTACATTTCTGAGCTCATTATTTATTTTCACAGTTGATCAATTAAATTGTTTAATATTATTCACACCAACTCCTGTAGTGAAGAATTAGGTAAATGTTCCTATTTTTCATTCCAGGGTTACCTTGGAAGAAACTACTTCATCGCCACACAAAGTCCTCTGCGAAATACAATCAGCGACTTTTGGCGAATGGTTCGTTCGCAGAAATCATCCACAATTGTCTTGTTGAATAGTATCAAAGATGGAACGGTATACTGTAGATAAAATTCTATATATCAGGTTGATTTTTACGTTGGTTGTGGTATGTCGAACCATGCATCCAAACCAAAACATAAATTATCATTATTAAATTATCAATATCCATTTGCAAGAAATTAGATATTTTCTATTGTTAATATTTATGCCGATGTTTTTTGTACACTTTAGTCGTTCCCGATATTCTGGCCGACAACCAGAGGACAACCAAACCAATACGACAGCTTGACAGTACAGTTGGACTCAGAAACAGAATCTGAAGGAATATGGACCAGAAAGTTTATCTTATCGTCTTATCCCGTACGAATATGATCAGTAATATTAATTAAAACAAAATTTTGTGGTTTGGATCAGAACTGTTTAAAACAGAAGTTGTTTAAAATGTGTCTATTCAATTCGAAATTTTGAAATAGCAATCAAAAACGAGTTTTAGCACCGTACTACACACTGGCTTTCAAAATACAACATGCGTGAACCCACTTGTGACGTAACATCCATATCCACAATAATCCATGATGGTGGACAGCTCGCTAGTTTCATTCAAAATATTTCAAGAATCATCTGAGATGGTGTGAAAAGTTTTTTTTAGTTATTTTAGTCAAATGAGATTAACAAAAATTTCATTGCCAATGTCCTTTGTCCAAAACTATTCTTTATTAGTCTGACTGAAACAACAAGATTGTAAAATATAGGTCCTCGTGAGATAATCCTTTCATAATATTAACCAAGTTAATAAAGGTAATATACGTCCTCTAAAACCAACCACAACCTCAACAATAAAACTGAGCCTAACAGTAATTAGCTAACTAATTTAAATTTAGGACTTGTCTGATGGTCAAGTTGTTAATATTTTCCATTACACGAAATGGCCGGACCATCGTGTACCACCCAATGCAGATTGTGTCATCCGCCTGACATCATTGGCCGAGAATTCAAGGAAAAATTATGGTCAAGGACCAATCGTTGTCGTATGCAGGTAACAATATCGTCCATCGCCTCATTCTTTCTTTTGTTCTTCATCCATGTTTGTGCTTGCTCGTCAGCAAAATAAACAGATAGGCAGTGTTGAACTTGAGAACACTTGGACCAAACAAATAATAGACAGGGTGTCATCTTTTCAATTTGTATTTCAGTGATGGAGCAGGACGTACAGGAACATACATTGCAATTTCAAACCTTCTTGAACGAATGAAAATTGAACAAGCAATGGATGTCTTCCAAGCCATAAAAATGATCAGAGGAACACGACCACAGTTTGTTGAAAATGCTGTAAGTACATTTTATAATAACATGGTTTTCATCGAAAGCGAACAGTCCGAGATAGAAACAGCGTTGAAAGGTTTATCCAGAGTATTTGATGTTTTAATACGACTAACCAATCATATTTAACTATACAATTTTCGGAATTGATTGACATCACTTTTTCGTAATTCTTTTATCAAATTTCTTAGTTAATCCAGCAAATAATATGCTCATGAGCATTTTTACGACGGCATTGGATTTTGGTACATATATGCATGAGGGTGGCAGGGTGCTTATGTGCATACTGGATTTTGGTATATATGTGAGCGTGCTCATGAAATACCAAAATAAGTTATGCTCATAAGCACGGTCATATATGTATCAAATAACCAAAATCCACCATGCTTATGGGCACCCTCATATGGATATACCAAAATCCAGTATCCTCATGAGAAATAAATAAAAGGCAAATCATAACAGAATTTGTTTTGTTTCTTTAGGAACAATATCGGTTCTGTTACGCGGCTATGATGGCGTACTTGGATGGTTTCAGTGACTATGCCAACTTCGAATAACCGAACCAAATTTTTTTTCAAATATGTGGCAAAAACAATTTTCACACGAAGATATTAGTTTGGTTAGATACGTTTAAAGCGAAAATCCGTCTTATGCGGACGAACCTCATTATTCATTAAACTTCATTATCTATTGTTTGAATTGCATTCGACGCGCCCGAAATTCGACGTATAAAACGGGCCTTAGATAAGGCAGCGTTTACACTGTACCGTTTTCGTAGCGTTCTCGTATTGTTCGAGAGAACTAGACTATTGTCTTGCGTTCCCTTGAGGATTAAGAACAATACGAGAACGCTATACGAAAACGGTACAGTGTAAACGCTGCCTATGGCAGCGTTTACACTGTACCGTTTTCGTAGCGTTCTCGTATTGTTCTTAATCCTCAAGGGAACGCAAGACAATAGTCTAGTTCTCTCGAACAATACGAGAACGCTACGAAAACGGTACAGTGTAAACGCTGCCTAAGTAGACGCATATACAGGGTGTCTCAAAAAAACCGCTACCCTTAGAAATTCACCATTGTTCTAATTTGAATGCCTGAACCTTGTTGAAGCCCTAAATGTGTAAACATTTTCACAGGATGCATATATTAAAGATCTTCGGGATTAAAATATCCTTGAAAAGCGAAATTTTTTATCCTGGGAATTGAAAATAGTTCATACAAAAGTATAACTGCACGAAAATCGTTCAATTACATATTAGTGAATGTCAAGGAAATGGCTCGACTGAGCACAGAGCAAAGAGTATTTATTGTCTTGAACTACCCATGAGTTCAAGATAGCACTCAGGCATTCAAATTAGAACAATGGTGAATTTCCAAGGGTAGCGGTTTTTTTGAGACACCCTGTACTGTCATATAGACTCCATGCAAGCAAATGGGTAAAAAACGAGATAAACTTAGGATACAACTGAACTGCATTCATAGCTCAAATTTGGGGTGCCAAAACCAATGTACTATTGACAGCAAATAAAACCACAGTTTGAAGTCGCCAGGAAATTGTTGAAGGATTTTAGTAGGTGGAAATTTCGAGTGTAAATTTTATTGAATTAGTAGATCTAACGAGAAGTAGTTGCGAACAATGCATTGTTTGAACACTATGACTATGTCTATGTTCGATTGGGTTTGAACGTACTTGGTTTAAAATTTTCGTTCAACATTGACATTGTTGTTAATGAATTCGTTTGAAGGGGGCTTTAGTATAAAATTTTGCTAGCCAGTCACGATTCATTGTCGGAATGTACCGTTGTCCTTTAAGTGTTTCGACGATCCCAATGGTATTTCGGCGCCCCTTTGTTTTTGCTGCAGTGGGGTTTCTAATCACTGGAATTGCTTAGCACATCGTCACAGCTAAATGTAAGCAACGTTTTTTTAATAAAGTCAGTTTAAACAGGATGCCACTAATGCACTATTGTCATGCTAAGTGTGTATGCAAGCAATGTTTTTGAATGAAGGCAATTGTTTAATTAACATATATTTATTTCGTGCTCAATTTAGGCACTGAAGTCTGACATGCGGAAGTATAACAAGCAATCCCATTATTTAGCTTTCGTCTTTTGCCTTCGCTGTTTCACTTTACGAAATATACGGCAGAATGCCGTGGCTAATTCATCGATGGTTAACCTTATTTGGTATATCAATATTGGTGTTTAAAGGTAAGGTGTTATATAACCCGGCAAAGCTACCGTGAAGTATACAAGTAGATTTTGTTAATCAGTAGATTTATACCGCCAAGTGAGTGAAGACATTGCTTTGATTTCATTGCATAGTATATAGTTTATGTGTATACATACATGTTTGTACTTTTGACATTGAATATAATTGATTTGAAGTGGTTACATATTTATCGAAGTAGTGGCCATGCACTGCGATGATAGACTATTATTGTCATATGCAAAGAGTGTTTGAATAAGGCTCAGTTGCATGTTCTAATGACATTAATTGTAAGATTATAACCACTTAACTTTTAAGAATGAAAAAGTGTCGATAAATTCAAGAGATATAAAGAGCTTTTTCGATGTTGGCAACGACATATTGACTTCGTAACTACAATATATCATCTTACAATGGGTGTCGGATTTCACGATTCAGGTGGTACGTGATTGACAAACGTGGTTGAAGTACATTGACGATTTCAAGCAGCAGTTAGATCCTTCGGCAAAGTTCGTGAATAAACTATATCATAGTATATAATTTAGTTGCAATTTAATTAATTTGCCTTGCCTTTAAAATGTTGCCATGCCTTTTAAAATATTGCCTTTTAAAGCTACTAATTTGTAAACAAATATTTGAAGGGGTTTATAGTTGGAAATTTCGGCTGTCATTTTTATACATTTATTAGATTTAACCAGGAGCAGTTGCGGAAAATTCAACTATCGAGTATCGGCCCTCACTGAGGCTGTCGCAGGAATCGAATTCTATATATGATTTGCCTGCAATAAGCGTACATATATATACCAACCACCAGAAACACAGTTTTAACTACTAAATTTTACAGTATTTATATTTTATAAGGTTTTTCCTGCCATTCCTTTTATCGCCTTTTCGTGATTCCAAGAAATTTTGCAACATGAGACGTGCTTGCGTTGCAACGTACCTGAAACTCGTGAGCAAAGCCGAATTATAAAGATCTTCGTCAGGATGTTAATACTACATCTGCACTAGTTGAACTTCCTGCTTAAAAAGGACGTTTTGTTCTAACCAGTGTATGTCTGTCTGTTGAAATCGACCAATATCTTGGAAGTTTGTGTAACTTGACACTCAACTGAACTTTAAATGTTTGAAAAACGAGATTTTTACCGATAACACGCGATTTACACATATTAGGCTGTACGTAGTACGTACGGCCTAAGTACTAATTTCCTGGTTGATCGCTAGCCCATTTCACTATGTCTGTGAAATATTTTGACGCTCTAACCCCAAATACCTAACATTATTTCTACTACTACGCTAAACGGTTCTAAATTTAAAAGTAAAACTATTCTCGAACCAACCTGCTTAACCTAACCTAACTGACCGAAATCTAGGCTATCTAGCCCTACACTTATCGTGATTATGCCAAATCAAAATCTAGCTGACCTTAACTCTTAAGTCAGGCGCATACGATACGATTGTATAGTAGGTCGATTTATGGCTTAAGCTAGTGCATGATATTCAATACAAAGGATCGAGGATAAAGAACACATAAATCAAAACACTGGCTCTTTTTAATTAACATGCATGCATCTAAACCATAAATCGGCCGACTAAAATCGCATCGTATGCGCCAGGCTTTGCAATCTTCAGTTCAATGTTTTTACTAAAAACACATACTTTGTAGTACTGTAACGTTAAATTATGTTCTCAAAAAATCTTAATTCGATCATAACAATAACTAAAGATTTCTTACCAGGAACGTAGGAACACTACAAGGAAATACGCCTAGCTAACAACTCGTGCCCGCAAGTTTAATTAAAACCGCCTCTGCAAGCGGATGAAAGAGATGTTGAGAACTAATCCTCAAAAGCCGCGACACGTACCATGTCAAATTCCGACTAAAGGAACAGACAATTCCCATTATTTATAGACTAATTTTAAAACTAGGCAAGGAGATGCAAATAAATCACCACAGCTAGAAAGAGCATACTAAAATTAGTAAAATTACAAAATTTGGTTGCGAAATGTTGTAAAATGTGGAAAATATAGCCTTGCAAAGTTCGCAAATTTTGTATACTTTTGGATTGCGTGCGACATTTTCGGCCTAAATGTGGTAGGAATGTGGTAGGAATTTCCGCAAGCAATACAAAAGTATACAAAATTTGCGAACTTTGCAAGGCTATATTTTCCTCATTTTACAACATTTCGCAACCAAATTTTGTATTTTTACTAATTTTAGTATGCTCTTTCTAGCTGTGGTGATTATTTGAGTTTCCTTGCCTAGTTTTAAAATTAGTCTATAATGGGAATTGTCTATTACACACCGGACGCGATTCGACAACGCGACGCGATTTTTTAGTTTTTGAACGTTAATAAAACAGCCAATGAAAGCAAATTTTGAAAGATATGTAAACTAAATGGCAAATAATTCAAAATGTTATAACGCTTCTAAATATTTGGAAAATTTAAACTAGGATCAATGTTATCGTTCAGTGAAAATCGAAAAATCGCGTTGCGTTGTCGAATCGCGTCCGGTGTGTACGGGCCTTAAAGGTCCACACAGACCGAACGCGATTCGACTGACGCGACGCGAATTTTCAGTTTTTAAAAACAAATAAAACCGTCAACGGATAAAAATTTTACGAGATATGCAGACCAAATAGCTAATATTGCTTACAGTAAGTGGTTCCGACTATTTGAAAAACATAGAAAAATATTGAAGTTAAATGTCTTATTGAAAATTGAAAATTCGCGTCGCGTTGCCAAATCGCGTCCGGTTTGTATGGACATTAAAGGTCCATACAGACCGAACGCGATTCGACAACGCGACGCGAATTTTCAGTTTTTAACAAATAAAACCTTCGACGGATAAAAATTTTACGAGATATGCAGACCAAATAGCTAATATTGTTTAAGTGATTCCGAATATTTGAAAAACATAGGAAAATATTGAAGTTAAATGTCATTGAAAATTGAAAATTCGCGTCGCGTTGCCGAATCGCGTCCGGTTTGTATGGACCTTAAGGCTACATGTACACTGCACTGCATAACTATCCAAACCTTTTAAGAACGCTATTTTCAGAGGAATTATTGCAACAGTCAGCCGGACTGCTTCGCTCAGCTTCTAAAAGTTGTACATACCGTATCGGATAGGTGAATTCCGTACCAGAAGGGTCCGTTAATTGCTACAACCCACGCTGAACTATATAGTATTTAATTATAAATTAAAGTTTCTGGCTATAAATTGCGAGGTTCAGATCTGTAATTTTAAAGCTTTATAAGGCTTTTTACAAGGTTGAATAATTCACTATCCAGCGGATACACTGTGAATTTCAACGAGTTGAATTAACTCGAATTTTCAGGTATAGTTACACCCCTTTCAATCCCAGCGAAACTTTCTTATAATAAAATATTGGCAAGTTTTTATCAACAATAATTTAAAGAGTTTCTTTCCACTCCACTCTCCGCATGCATAGATGCCAAAAAGAGTGAATGACACTCGGACATTTTGTGGAAGGCAGTATATAAATTATATTAAATTTCTATAATTATAAGGGCATGTGCAAGGTCGTGCATGGCCACTGATCTTGTGACTACACTAACGTTGTTTTTTACGTACTGTTTAATTAATCAAAAATTAACATGTTTTAACCAGTGACGACTAGAAACAAAGGTCATCCAATTCTACTTTCCGGGTATAGTTACCATGGTATATAATAGGCTACTACCATTAATAGCAACAGTACTATAGTTTTGTCATTTCGGATAAATAAAACGAGTGAAACCAGGATATGTCGTATTGGCCGTATCTCATAATGATCATAAAACTTACGCTGCTCCCCACCCACAGATCATATAGGCATGCCGACATTGTCGGCTAGAATCAACCAGTTATCTTCGTTTAATCTAATATGATAATAACCGCCAATTAACTATCCCCAGAAAAGTAGAATTGAATTACCTTTCTCAGAATTGAATTACCTATTTTTCTCGCACCGACAAACATACTTTTGGACGTTGACATATCAAAATTTTATTACGAACGACGTTGTTTCCGGAACGGTGGTGAAAAATGCCTCGCCTATCTATTCTTTGCTTGCACATGACGTCACTACGTGGCATTAGGCGCCATCTTGGTTGATTTTAAAGTTTTGTCCAGCCGTTTACATCGAAATAGTTGAGTAACTTTAATATTTTTGGTTTGTTTTGAAAACATCTCACTATATTATGGATAGTTTACGATTTCTGGCACAAAACGACGAAGAATGAAGAATATAGATTTTTAGTTGCCACGAAAATCAACCAAGATGGCGTCGATTGCAAACGAGCAATACTATATATAGTCAATATAGAAATATACAAAACTATAGATACTCCGAAAATTGAAAACATTTTGAAAAATTTATTTCGACGTTTCGACTAAACTATAGTCATCATCAGAAAATGAATGGAAATATATATAAATATAAATAACATATATACATATATATACGGCCTTTAGGCTTATAGATAGATAGATAGATAGATAGATAGATAGATAGATAGATAGATAGATAGATAGATAGATAGATAGATAGATAGATAGATAGATAGATAGATAGA